TCATAACATCCAACACAGCCCTGCATCTTCCCGAGTATCATCTCTCGCTCTCTCTTACGCTCGTCCACTATTGCACACTGGCATTTAACTTCCAGAAGAAGACGGTGGCAGATTGTGCTTTAGTTCTTCTGCAGCACAAGCAGGGCGATACAGCTGGTGAACTGTTTCCAGACCCTCTGTGGCTTTGTGTAGTTGGTTTATTTACGTTGCTGGTCATGTGCGTCTGTCTGCGTGTGCGTACGTCAATTCATGCATGTTTTGTTTGGTACTGCATATGAAGCGTTTATTTATTTTTTTTAAATCTCTGGCCACTACACGCATTTCTTGGAAGACTCTCCTTTCTTGATGGAGCACAGCTGCAGTTAAGCAGCCCCTCACTCCATGTCGGTGTGAGGATCAGGGGATGCTGAATATTTCAGAGCTGCTATATTTAGATGTTACACATTTAGAATGGCAAGAATAGAAACTTTCAGCGGGCGCTCCGGATGCCAAGGCACAGGTCTTTTTTTTTTTTTTTTTTTTTTTTTTCCCCTCTTCCCTCACCAGTTGACAGTTTCATCTTTGATCAGTGATGATAGCTGAGTTGCATTTTTCTATTTTTATACCATAGTTTTTTAAAGCATAAATTCGCCTTGATGAGGAACAAAGGACTTAATGTTCTCCCTTGCAAGGAGAGGTAAGGAACTTTCAGGGTGCAGTGTTATGCATGTGCATGGATCAATGATACCAATCTGGGCTCACAGTTCACTGTCACATCACATCTGACACAGTGGATGGCTCCTCCAGCGAGGCAGGAGCCGGGGATGATAGTAAGGGAGGTGACAAGCATTGCCTTTGCCCTAAATGATCTGAATGGGTAATGATTTGAGTCTCATAAATGATTGAGCGACCTATCTGAAGGGAATACACCTCCAGCATGGCATGGGCGGCTTGTTAAGGTGGACTGGTGCGCTTGAGCGGACGCACGTCCTGCCTGCGGCATCTGCTTGTCCTGATGCATCCTTAAGAGAGCGCGTGTGGGACGTGGCTGAAGTCCCTGAAAGCATTCCTCTCTCACCTCTCTTACCTCCAGGGATTGAGATGCGCTCAGACGTCGACTCCTTCTCCTCCATCAGTCTCCCTCTGTTGTTCTCTCTTCATTTCTCTCCATCTCTTCCTCCCTCCCTCCTCTGGACTGCGTTGAGCGTTCTCCTCGTTGGCCAGTTGAGCTGTGCTGTGAGAGTCTTGATTGCGGCGAACACACGAGCGCCCGAGTGTCTGCAAAGGAGCACGAGGCAGTCAGCAGAATGTTGTATTTGTGTGTTGTGGTATTTCTGTTTTTAGTGTATTGATCTGCATTGAGTGGGGAATTTATTGTTGGTGTATAGCAAAACAGAAGATATGCGGATATCGTTCCCGTAAGTTATCACTGCGATGTATCTATTAATGATTTATATTTACTCATAATGCATTTTTTTTTTTCGTGCTGACTACAGACTCCATAAGGCCCAATTACACCCTCTTACCATTACCTGTCAGTGGCTGCAGTGTCCACCTTGGCCACACTGGGGCACTCCAGACCCTGCCCACTTTCCTCTTATTTTTGTGCTAGAAAATTCTACACTCACTCACTGAGGCTTTTCCAGAATACCACGCAAGAGGAGGCGCGAGGCGAGTGATTGCTCAGTAATAGCTAAAGGATGCTACGGGGCATTTTCACCACTGACGATGTATGGGAGTCTGAGAATAAGCTTAATTCCCTACATCACTGTCCAAAGTATGGACGGGGTGGGTCAGTCATAATGTCTAGACAATAAATGTACCAAATATGTCTGGGACCCATTAATGCTGCCGTTTTCTTTTTTTTTTTAGAACGGTGCTTGTAAAAGAGATAAGATTTCAAGAGTGAGTTGAAAGGGACTCAATTAGAGGTTGCACGGGAGAGAATAAGGCTATTAAACAGTGACCTGAATCGTAATGTAAATGCTAAAGGACAGGTGGTTCGGTTAACAATCATGAACTGTGTTGTAAAAAACTAAGCCTTGTCTAATTTAATCTGCAGAATTGAAACCATTTCCACTCTATAAAGCGACTTGATTAACGGGGGATACTTTCAAAGAGAGACCCCCTTCATGTACCTGTTGGCAAATACTGAACAGCAACCGCCAAGCCATTATGTTAGCTGGTAACAAATTGCTCATATGTGCCCAATTTAAGCAGCGCTCCAGCAGCAGAGAGCCCTTGTTATCCCGTGCCTGGTAGCCTACCTGACACATGTATGAGAACGCCCATCTATCTTACAGGCATAGACAGCTCGGCTCTCCAGCGGGGGGGGGGGGGGGATGGAAGCTGTGTGAACAGGTAGAGGAGGACTTTATTAACCACTCAGCAGTTTGTGACCTGGAAAACCCAAATTACCCCAAAAGCCTCTCGTCTGCGCGGCCCGGGACACAACCGTGGTGCTAAGGGAGCTCCTAATCGGCCCCAGATGGGAGGCCTGCTCTTGATCGCAGACAGTAGCTGACCCAGCCAGGCTTCATGCTCCTTACAGCACCCGCCCCCACCCTTACTCTTTTTAATTTCACCTCCGCCACCACCAGCCCCTGTTAGACCCACTTTATAGACCGCAATATGTGTGTATGAAAGAGCTGTTTTACACAGGAGTCCGTGGGAGCGTTTATGTCATGTTTGTGTGCTGTGAATGGAAATGGTGGTGTTTAATGTGAGCGTGGGAGGAGGGAGATGTCTCGTAAAATGAATCTTGTTTTGTATTTAAAAAAATGAAATGTAGGCAATACCGCCTCCCAGCTCAGTGCGTTTTTAGATTTATGTCGATATAAAATCGTGGTGTTTATTGTGATACTGATTCCAATCGTATTGGCCATTTCCAATTGCATTTCTGTATTTCTTTTCTCTGTGCACCTTTTTTCTGTCAGGGCATTAAGGCGCGTATTCTAGAGACCTTTGTGATGCTCTTCCTGCTGGCTTTGCTCATCCTGGGCATCGTGTGGGTGGCATCAGCGCTCACTGACAATGATGCAGCCAGTATGGAATCGCTCTACGGTACGTTGTTAAAGGATTCTGTGTCATTGTTGCTTCTAAGTGTTCTGTAGTATTTGGTAAATTGTTTTTTTTCGCTTCTGGCAGACCGTTGGATGAGATTGATACCACTCTCATGTCTCTGCATCAACTATGAAGCTTGAACTGCGAGTTGGTTAGCTTAGCTTAGCATATATACTGGAACTAATTTAGCTTGGCTTTCTCCAAAGTAAAACAAATTCCCTTTAAAGCACACAAATGAACACATCTTGTTTAATCTCTTCATAAATATAAATGTAAGAGGAGTAAGATGGAACTATATCTCGTGCATTTCCTTAAATGTTGAACTATTCTTTCCGGTTGTTCTATATTATTATTAAATGTATTTTTTCTGTAGATCTTTGGGAGTTTTACCTACCATACCTCTACTCCTGTATATCTCTGATGGGAGGACTGCTTTTACTCAGTAAGCCACTTCATTTCTTCTTATACACACTAAAATATAATTGTTGTTATGTTGAGCTACCATCAATTTAATATTGCTTAAGTGTTTCACCTTATTGTGGTTGAACGAGCACGCTGATACCACTGTTTTCTGTCTCATGTGTAGTGTGCACTCCTGTGGGATTGTCCAGGATGTTCACCATCATGGGCCAGTTACTAGTGAAGCCAACAGTAAGGAATCATTATGTTTGTTCTGTAAATGTTTTTGTCAGTACACATTTACAACTAGCAGTTCTTTTTTTTTGCTGAAAGACCACAGAGTTGAACTTGAACGCTCGGACTTGAAGCCACCGTCTGTTTCAGTCGACCATTTACATGCGCAGCAGAGGACTACAGATACATCACCAACTCATCCTCCCATCTGCCATCTCTCCGGTCCCACTTTGGGCCTAATTATAACCCATTTCATCTCTTCCTCCTCTGCTCCCCTCCCTTCAGATCCTGGAGGACCTGGATGAGCAGATTTACTGCATCCATTTGCAGGAGGAAGCCCTTCAGAGGAGATTAAACGGTATGTCTGTGGGAGACGTGTTGGCACATTATAGGGGAGGGGAGGGGTTGACTGCCCTATTGGGTGTGATGGAGCGCGCCACACTGGAATCAATTAGCATTGAAAATCCAGCCACATACACAGAGACAGACACTGGCAAAAAAAAAATCCACACACACACTACAGCGGCCTTTCCCCACCGCTGTCTTACTCTCATAACTTTCTGCTGAAGGGCAAAGCAGCCACATGGCAAGGACCATATTTTATGTTTCGGAAGTTTTTAAGGATCCATTTAAGACACTAGTGAAATGATTGCCTCATTTAGGACTATAATGGTGGCCTGGGTAATGGGATGGAAATGAAATCTTTTACAAGAACGTTTGGCCGGGTCCTGTGGACATTAAAGAGACTGTTCAGTGACGAGCAGCCTTGTGCTGTTCTCGTGCACAAAAGGATAGTTTAAAGAGTTAAAGGATGGTGGAGATTATTTTTATTTAGCCTGCATTTCCTTTTCATGTCCAACCCTCGGTGTTCCCAAATTCCTTGTTTGACGTTGAACAATCTCAAAAAGCAGGAAGTATTTGGCCCAAGTTCCAAAATCTACTTTAATATTAAGTCAAGCATGCAACCAAGTGTACAGATGCGAGTAAATGAAGAGGATGAGCGTCCTTTCAAACCATGGAGGTAAGGGAGATCCCTCCCTGATAACGCATGTTTTCGAATGCCACACCGGCCAACTCTATAGACTGCCACCAATGCGTATGGTTCCTCCGAGCTCATTCCACGCTGCACTGCTTTGAACTAACTGAATAATAATTGTAATCTGTTCCTTATCACCTCCAACACTGTTTGAACTTAACAAGTCTCTGTGAGGCAAAAAAACAAACAACTGCGGTCGACATCTTTTTGTGTGCACCGAGGCCAAGCTGCGATACACTTTTGCCTGTTTTTAAAAAGGTGGGAGTTGGAGGCAAAGAAGAATGTTGAGGTGAATGTTTTTAAGCTGTATGTAGATGCACATGCTCAGCATTCACACTCACACATGGGTGGACCTCAAGGCTGGACTGGTGTCCCTTTGATCTGCTGAGAGCGACTACAGTTCAGGCACAGTTCACAGGACACACTCCAGAGGCGAGCGGTGTTGTCGTCTTGCTTCACCTGTGTCCACTCTGCATCCCGCTCCCCTAACAGATCCTCTGACCCAGTTTGTGTTTGCAGATGTGGACTGTTGAGCCACATCAGTCGATGCGGACTGTTGAGCCACATCAGTCGATGCATCGGTGTTTATTTACACGTCTGGGCCTTTTGTTGTCCTCTCTCTGTATGTAATTGCCCATTTGTAATGACATTGTTGATACTGTGAGTCTTACAGTTCAGAGGTTTTATGGCTTAAGTTGGCTGATTGGACATGTGCGTCTGTTTTTCTTGTCAAGGGTATGATGAACCCAATATGCATAATGTTTAGAGGCATGCACCTAGAACTATCAGATAATGCTTTACTTACGAGAAACCAGGTTTTACAATTTACTTGCACAACTCTTTACAAGGCAGCCCTTCTTTACCGCTTTTAAATGTATTGAGGCTTATGTTTAAATAAGTTATAGATATCCCTGACAAAATAGGTTAGCAAAATGCTTGAAAAAGGAAACACACAGGTGTTGTGTTAAGTTTGAATCACGGAACAGTGTGAACACCTGGCCTCGTCTCCTGAATATGAATCTAAAAGTATCTTTGAGATTAATCTTCCCTGCTTGGAGGTGCAAATGTAGCTTCCACCTAATGCCTATAAATCATATCTAAATAAATATCCATTGTGTTTCTGATTCCAATGGGTTATCCGCTTAGCAGATATTGTCTGGTAACCAGAGTAGACAAATATATTGCAGTACAGGCACTGTGACATGCACACTTGTCCACGCTGCCCTCCCAAGACCCTGATCTGCTGATAGCAGACCAACGGTCCAGATGCTATGCGGCACAATGACCTTGGCGGTGCCTCTGTTGTCTCAGCATGGTGTTTAGCATATGTGTGGATGACGTAATCTTTCGACTGTGCTGAAGGTTGGAGAGGATACGTTGAATTACTCCGGGCCTTCCTGGCTGCCAGAAGCCCTCGCTCAGCATCTCTGCCTCGCTGTAACTCAGTCTCGTACTTGATGCTGCCAGCAGAAGGAGAAGGATATATTTAACTCCAGTTTAGAATGATGTCATTGAAGTTAGCACAGTTGAAATTGAAGTGATGATATTGTTCTTTGTCTTCAGTTCGATCTGCTGTTTTTTCTTCATAGCTATCAAGAAGCTACTGTTCATTTGATCAATGATTTATCCATTCCTGGGTGACGGGTAAGGCCATGTTTGGATATGTTATGCACAAATGTGATAGATTAGTTCACGACCCCGAGGCAGAGTGTTCACTTCATCTCTGCAGGGAAAGAAAAAAAAAAGCTGTTGAACTGCCCGTGACATTTCCTGTTGTGTTGTGACTGCATTTGCTCGGAGGGTTCAAACTTTCCCCTGCTTAGATCCTGGGACAGGTATCTGCGAGGGCACAGACGACAGGTTCAGTCTCTCTCCTCGTCTTCTGCCCACTTAGACCCATCCAGACAGGGCGTGTCGTAATAACAGAGGGAAGAAAAAGGTTTGATCAAAGTGATTGGTCCTTCACTCTTGTAACAAAGATGAAAGATGGTATTTTTTATTGCACGCTAGTAATGGTGTAACACTGAACTAATTGGTCTTGATCTGCCAATCACCTCGGGGGATGCAAATGGATACTCTTCCACTTTGGCCTCTACGCTAGTGCGCAGAAGTTGGAAGGAAAACAGAGTAAAATAGATAAATTAGCCTTAAATGAGCCGGCCTTGTGGTTTTCCTGGAGAATCCCTTGCTGTCTTCTCCAGCCCACTAAACCTGTTGTGGCATGTGCTAGACAGCTCCTGACACAAGAAATGATTATGACTTGTTTGAGATCACGTTGTTGTGTTCAGGGCAGGATTACTTGTTTTGATGGGATTTCTTAATAAAATATAAGTCAAATGCCATAAGGCGTAAGACAAAGACATCGTGAAGTCACCATGATGTAAGGTGATGTAGTCGGTGTGTGAGAAATGCCAGAAAATACTGTTTTCCCAACCGAATGAATAGCTTCTTGAGTAGTTTTTGTATCATTTTAAAGTGAATAACTTTGTGTTTCGGACTGTCGGACAGACAAAACAAGACTCTCAGAACTCTGTTTTTTCACAATTCTTTTACATTTTCTAAACTTAATGTTTAATCCATTCAGTAAATTGGCTACATATTAAAAGTGATCGCAACGACATCTGATCATGCGACAATTTGTAAGTTAATTGTAATGGTTTTCTGTTTCGGCAGGATCGTCCTCACACACTTATTTCCGAGGAAGCTCTACTCAGCAGCTCAACAAAGAACTGGACAATATTAGAAATCAGAGGAATAAATTGGGTAAGTATTTGTATTATGCAGGACTGATGTATTTTCTCTGAAGACCTTGAATTGCCATGGAAATATATGCCAAGAAGTAAGCTTTTTACATATTGCTGACGGGCAGCCGCTTTCTCCACGTCTGCCTTCATTTCTTAATTTGGACGTGGACCAGAACTGCTTGATAATTTTCCATCCATTTTAGGATATTATAAATGAGGCCTGAGTCTTTTGGGGAGCAGGGTGTGGGCGGGCGGGGGGGGGGAGGAGAGGAGGAGAGCACAAAGGCACTTAGGATATTGGACAAGATGCAAACTTTATATTGTAGCAAGCCTTTTAGTGATGTCATTAATTTAGAAGGATGGTGCATATAAAGTGCACTTGGCAAACTTCTCGGGCAGGCAGGGTGGGTGCACTTTGAGAATAAGGAGGACTAACAATGTTGGAAATAGAGAAAGAAAGTCAATATGGCAAGGACTAGAGAGTAGTCGGATACACATTGTTGGGTACTGTGGATGTCCATAATAGAAGATATAGTGCATGGGGTCTACAAGCTGTCAGCAGTGTCTACAAACATGACTGATGAGCTGTTGAAATAAGAGGAAGATGGAAGATATAAACTTTGAAATGTTTCATCCGGCTGAGAAGAGTGAGGCGCAGTAGTTGCCCTCCGCGCGCACACATTCTGACCAAAATATAAATCACAGAATTAATTTGGTTGCATTTCTTTTTATCCAGGATTTATGATTGTTGCCACTAATTAAGGCAATGATAAGTCTTGACTAATTAAAGAGGAAGAGCATCATTTTTTTTATGGTTATGAAATATATATTACCGGGGGGGGTTGCGATGAGAGGTGAGATTGTGTTTGCTACACACACTCACGATGTTTTACCAAACCCTGTAAATACAGCCAGAGGGCTCGAGGTTTCATTACTCGTCTTTGATGAACATATTAATTAACCAGCAGAGGAAAGTGGTTTGTATCTCTGAATCTTGCAATTAAAAGAGTTGCTTCTACATATATAGAACTAATGACCTCACATTTTGGCTCTCACTTCCACTCAGAGAGAAGAAAGAAAGCGTCGGGTTGGGAGAAGAACTTGTTGTATCCCATAGTGATGCTGATCCTGCTCGCAGGAACGGTGAGTGCTGTGACTGACCTATCATTAAGCCCAAACTGTTTACTCATGGCGTATACAGCCTGGCTGGTGGCCATTGGGACTAACACCCTGTACCTCAAATCCTATCCTCTTAACACCCAGAGTCTGGGTGTGGAAACTACTTTTGTTTAATAGCTGTTTAAGACGATGCTGAATTGCCACCATTTTCCATAGCTTAAAGTGTGGGAATACTTGTTATGCCTTCTTCATGGCATCAAACATCCCCACGTTGTTCAGGTTTTGAGTAGCTTAATGTTGCCGCATTTCACAATCACAAGATGGTTATTATGCATTACCATACTTACGGATCAGCACGGCCACCGCAATTCAATTATATCATGATGCCGGATACTTTTATAATTCCACCATGTGTAAACAAATCTTTATCTTCCTCTCTGTCTGCAGACAATCTCAGTTCTTATGGTGGCATTTAATATCCTGTACCTGCTAGTGGATGAGACTGCCATGCCCAAGGGATCCACGGTAAGCCTACTGTAACCTAACCTAAGTACGTTTTTACTCCCCACACACAGACACACGCCCAGAATGTAAACTGCAGAAGCCTATCAGACCTGCCATGCACCCGGCGGGGACATAAATCAAATTCCGGATATGCTCAGATGCTTGTTGGAAGAAAAGGCCCGACCAGATGTTAATCAGGCTTGAACCTTGTGCCTCTGGTTTTGTTTTGGAAGCTCATTGAAAGTCATTTCACAGCAGCGTGCAGATTCAATGAGCCCGCTACGTGTCTCCAGTCCACAGTTAGGTGAAAAGGCTGCTTCTCCTGACTCCTGCAAAGGCAGACAGGGCCAGGTGAAGGGCTCTTGCTGTGCGGCAGCGTAGCCCAGTGTGGCTCTGAGAGATTTTCATCTCCGCCTAACATGCAATGTGTTTTAAGCTCCCCTTATCTCGTCTCATCTGCAGTGACAGAGAGGCGTGCGTGCATGTGCTTGTATGTGTGTGCGTCTGTGGTTGCATTCTTGTCTGAGAGGGGGCAACATAATGTATCCTATTTCTCCCTCATTTAATTTTGCGTCTCGCGGGCAACTGACAGAGCTGCCCTCGACATTCCAATTATTTTATTGAACAGAGATGTTTTCTTTGGCATGACGCATCACAGAAAATCCCCCAAATTACACTTGTCATGCAACTTGAAGCTGTCCTCCCTGACAGTGTGGCCCCACTAAATGGTTTATGCGTTTGTTGAGCTGGATGGATGCCACACCTCTGATGAGCTCACAGCACTACGAGGGGTGGTGGTGGTGGGGGGTCTCGTCCTCGTCCTCCAAAACAATCGATACTAATATGATATCCATCTCTCCACCCCGTTAACCCTGCCCTCCAGCTCTCTGCCTCGTAGTTACCCACACACTGTCTAGAAGGAGATAAGGACAGAGGAGAGAAAGGGACATAAAGAAGTGTAGAGAGAGGCTGGTTCGAGGTCGGAAGGAGGAACTGTCAGAGTAAAGAGACTGTGGGAAAGTCAAATGAGGCCCCCGATGCGCTGATTGTTTTGGGGGGAGAGCACAATGGAAGTGCCCTGTCAATGTTTGTCTTCCCCTTCCTACTAAGCATCCCGCCATAGTCCTCTCAGCATACTGAGCAGTGCCCCCAATTGGCTTTACGGAGCAGAGGATGGAGGTGAAGGATGATGAGAAGCTAGGAAGAGAGAACGAGCAGGGAGGAGAAACAGGTGGATGGAGATGAGGAGCAGAGATGCTGTAGAAGCAACACGGGGGAGGAGAGGAACTGGAGCTGTTTTACAGCATGATGAACAAGCACTAAGAGGGACCAATAAAGGAGTTATTGCGGGCCCTCCTCTTTGGTAGCCACAGCTCTTGACACTATATTTAGTAAAATGGACAATTATCTGGAACTGGACTCCAACTTTCACCTCACTAAAGTTGTGCTTCTGTGAACATACACAAACGTGCATGATAGCACCTTTAAACTTCCTGTGACAAGCTCACCTCAGCTGTGGCCTTTCAACTTTTGTGAATGTAGAAGTACATGCAGAAATATCTTTCTGTCCACCATAAACAATGTGAATTTAATTTGAAAATCTAAAGCCATGATGCTGTTAGGTTCACACCCAGCAGAGCTCAGACGAAGGGTTCAATTCCATTTTAGTTGATATCTCAACATCATCACACCTTTTAACTCATTTGCTGTTGGGTGGTTCAGACTTACATGTCCGAACCATTTCAGAACTCTTTACCCGACGTAAATGGCAGCTCTCTGTATTATATTTACCCTTTATGACCGCGTCATTCTCCTATTCGTTAGATGATAGTCGGGGGGGATTATCTGGTGTACAAGAGGATTGAAAGGAGTGAGAAAGACTTATGACTATGTGAAAGGCAGTAAACTAAAATAAACAGATTCTAATACTTCTATCTTTAAATAAATACAATTTTAGAAAAATGCTGCCATTACTGCAGAGACCCACCTGAGGTAAAATGGTCAGGACGCGAGGCGCACGCACGCCATTACGCAATTACGCAGGTATTGCGAGGTGTTAATCTTACTAGCTACAAATGAAATGTGTCAGCTGAAAGAGCAGGGGCAGGCTGCACGGACGAATCTACCAGACTACCCCACCCACCAACCAACCAAGCCGTCCCTCTCTTTGACACACACACACACACACACTCGCACACTCTCTCTCTATCGCCCTTCCTGCTACTGGAGTGAAAAGAAGTAAGAGTTGAAAGGAGGCGTACTGTGAACGCTAGCTGTCCTAAGCGCGGGCATACAGGCATATTGCGAGTGCACACACAATCTTAATGCATGCCCACCCTCCCTCCATTAATAAATTACATCAGATGCTGTCTGCTAATTCCCTGTGTAAGAGAGAGAGAGAGAGAGAGAGAGAGAGAGAGAGAGAGAGAGAGAGAG